TTTTTTTTTTTTTTTTTTTTTTGAGGTCAAAGCAGAGTATTGGAGATGGAGAGCGGTGTCCAGTCGTTACCTTTTTTTCCGAGGTGCTCTCGAGCTGAGAGAAAAGTTTTAGGGTCTCTAAATTGAATGTGTGTAGATACAGAAGGGGGTGCCGGGTCAGAAATGACACCACTGAGCTACACCTCGGTCGCTAGCAATGGGAAACTGCCCTCGACGCCAAAGACAGACGCCAGAAGAGGGCTGTGTCCCCTTGACTCATTGCTTGATGTTTGCAAAGGTATTCATAACGTTGTTGTTAGTTATTCGGCCCTGTGCCTTGACGGTGGTCTTACTCACGGAGTAAGAAATTAAGGTGCAGAAAGAAGGAAGTTCTCAGCATCAGAAGGAATAGCCACTGGCGTTATGCCACGATTAACACAGGGGCTTCGGAGTTTCTCCTGAGACCTTCGGTGGCTGTTGCTTCCTCCAGCGGTGGGTCATTACACAGACAGGGGAGTCTGACCTCTAAAAGGGTCACAGTGGTAAGGAAAATTCTGTTCACGGAACTACCCTTCTTCTCAGGTGGAACTTCAGCTGAAGAGAAAGAGCAATTCTATCATTGCCTTGCCCATGATTTTACCCCCACACTGCACATAATTTTTATTCTTTGTCGTACTCCTTTAATAAGCGTAGCCAGATGGTTCTTATGAGAAAGATCCTAAATTTTCAACCTTTCTCACAAATTGATTCATTCAAATACATTCTCGAACTAGGAACTAGGCCTACGGCTCTCAATAAAATTTGCCTCCTATCCAGGAGGAACACACATTCCAGGTTTTCGAGCAGAACAAACCAATGACTGCACTACTGTGTTTTCAGTGCTACAGTAAGATAAATACCTTGGATGGAAAAGCCAGAAATGTGGCATTTGAAATAAATCTTATCTTCAAAAATGGACTCTTCTCAGCCGATGTTTCCAAAAGCCTAGCTGTGAATACCTTGTCAGAAGCAATCTCCTTGAACTGGAAGAGTATTGTGGTAAGTGAAATAAGCCAGTCAGAGAAAGACAAATATCACAGGATTGCACTCATTTGTGGAACATAATGAACAAAATTAACTGATGAACAAAATAGACCCAGAGATCTGTTCCATAACAGACTGAAGAATCTCAGAGGGAAGGCAAGGTTGGGGGAGTGGGTGGGGAGAGATTAATTAAAGAACTTATATGCATAAATGCATAACCCAGGGACACAGACAATAGTGTGGGGAAGGCCTGGGGGTCAGGTGGATACTGGGCGGAGGGGATGAATGGGGGGTGGAGGGAACACCTGTTATACTTTCAATAATAAAGACAAATTTAAAAAAAGGAAAAAAACGATCCCCTTGGACCTAGATGAAAAGAATGTTGGGAGAGTTTGAGTCAAAACTTGATTTTCTTAAAGAACAAAAGAGAAAGGACCATCATGAAATAGCAGTATCCTGGCTTTTGTTAATTAATTTAAATGATTCACTTTTAAAGGTATTAAAATGGGAAAATCACACAAAGACTTAGAAAGCTGTCCATTGTAACTAACACTCATGCCCTCCATTCCATAAATGTTAGTTGAGTCTGTGCTATGTGCCAGGCACTGTTCTAAACTCTGGGGAAACAGCAGTAAACAAAATGAAACCTCTGCACTCCTGGGGCTCACATTCGATCACAGAGTGGGATGGGAGTGAGGGGGCAGAAAATAAGGCAGATATGCAGAATGTATACAGTATGTCAGATGACGATAGTAAGCGGGGGAAGCTGGAAAAGGGACAAGGAGTACTGGGGACAGTTGCAGTTTTAAATATAGCAATCAGCTCATTGAGTTGATCTGAAAGAGATAAGGGAGGAATCTGGGAGTTTTTTTATGAATAGAAAAGAGCGAGGGCAAAGGCCCTGAAGGTGGGATTGTGCTGTGGCAACACAACTATTTCACAACAGTAAAAAATTTCTAAATGCCCATAAAAAAATTTTTTTTTTTTTTAAAAAAGATAGATTGCTCCCACTGGCCAATTTTGGGACAATTTTGAGTTTGGATAAGAAATATAGCTTTGGAAAAACAAATTTGGGAGTCATCAGCTTGTAGATGATATCCAAAGGATATCTAACGCCACCTTGGTATCTGAGCCTTAAACATAGTGCGTAGCAACATCAGGTCCACCTGAACCTGTTAGAACAGGGGTCTGATATTTATAATAGAAGTTAAAAGGTTGAACAAGTCATGGGAAACTAAACAAGAAAATGAGATGTCTGCCCAAGGAGAAGTATAATTCTTTCCAGACTTCAATATCAAAGAATAAATGCCTAAGCACTTTCCCGCTATCCTTACAATTGCCTTACTCCATTCTTCCTTAATAACAAGGTACAAATTTGTCTTATTTTCAATCACGTCTCTAGAAAAGGGATGTGAAATACACATAATATGGGTATTGGGACTGTGCTTATCTAATTTCCTAAGGGCATAACTCTAATTTCATCTTAGCTGCCCTGCTTATTAATTGCATGGGGCAGTGCCCTAAGAAAATATATATATATTCCTTTCAAACACACACACACACACACACACACAGTATTTCTTTCCTAAAAAATATAACCTCTCTGCCCTGGCTGGTATGGCTCAGTTTCTTGGGTGTCGTCCCTTGAACTGAATGGTTGTCTAGCAACTTCAGTGATAACCTTTCCAACCTAATCATTCAAATCATCCTCTCCCAATCTCGACCTGGAATCACCCTCACTTGGCCTCCACATGTGCATTATCCATCTCCTTAACTGCTTGCAAGCAGCAGAATTCTGTTGGAGCCTTAGCCAGCTTCAAAATCTTAAGACCTAGCCCTAGCCGCTGTGACTCGCTGGGTTGGAATGTTGGCCCAGCCGTGTACCAAGATTGCAGGTTGTCAGGGGGCCTATTGGAAGCAGTAGATCTCTCTCTCTCTCTCCCTCTCTCCCTCTCTCTCTTTCTCTCCCTCCTTCCTTCTCTCTTCCTCTCTCTGGAATCAGTAAAAAAAAAAAAAAAAAAAATTTT